TCACCCTGAAGAACTGTACCATATCAAGGGCTCAGTGTTGGTCTCTGCTGATGGCAAATTGGGCACTCAGCAGTGGCCGTAACCAGGTCAGTCTTGGTGAGTGGAAGTTCCTGTTGCTGAGCCCATGAATAACCTCCATCCCTGCCACCATGGCCACTTTGTTCGCAGACCCATTGGATGATGGCAGGGGTGGTTGGGGAAAAGGGCTGAGTGGTGTCCATAGAACGAGTCATCCTATCCACTTGATTATTAAAATCTTCCTCTCCTGAGTTCACCCATTGGTGAGCACTCGCATGGGATAAAAATATCTTCACAGTTTTTGACTACTCAGAGAGGTCCATCTACATACCTCTTCCCCAAATTTTATTCTCACCAATTTTCCAATCATGCTTCTTCCAAGTCCCTGACTATCCAGCCAAACCACTGGCTACAGCCCATGAATCATTATATAATCACACATCTAGTCATCTCTCCTTCCTTGCAAAGTGCACATCCAGGTGCACTGCTCAAAGTTCTGCCCACTGGGAAGATTTCCCTTCACCACTGCCCTTCAGGGATGTCCTAGAAAGGGGCTGTAGTGCTGCAGCTGTCCACTTTCAGGGGGTGCCTGCATATCATGCAAAACATCTGTGAACCAGGCCTTAGTCTTCTCTTTCTCTGTCAACTGATCATGATCATAGGGAACTCCCCATGAGGCCATTGGTGCAGGCTGGGGGAGAGAAGCCAGGGTGGCAGGAGTGGAGACCATGGGCATTTGAGCCACTTCCTCATGTAACTTATTCCTCAGGTGACTTCAAGACTGGCGAGAGCCTGATCACACATATACCACTTCCACTGGATGATAGAATGCTGCTGTGCACAACCCACTTTATAGCTAGATGGGTCAGAAAGCACTCAGTTCATGATAGGCAGTTCAGGTCACATGGTGACTTGCTGACCCATAGTCAAACGTTCAGTTTCCACCAAAGCCCAGTAACAGGCTAAGAGCTGTCTCTCAAAAGGAGAGTAGTTATCTGCAGAAGATGGCAGGGCCTTGCTCCAAAATCCTAGAGGCCTCCACTGTGAGTCATTTATGGGTCCTGCCAAAGGCTCCAAATAGCATCCCTATCTGCCACTGACCCCTCAAGCACCATTGGATCTGCTGGGTCATATGGCCCAAGTGGCAGAGCAGCTTGCACAGCAGCCTGGACCTGTTGCAGAGCCTTCTCCTGTTCTGGACCCTACTCCTGGTACCAAAATCTACATTAGTCAGGGTTCTCTAGAGGCACAGAACTAATAGGATATAAATATACGTGTGTGTGTGTGTGTGTAGGGCAGTTTATTTATTTATTTATTTTTTTGAGACACAGTCTTGCTCTGTCACCAGGCTGGAGTGCAGTGGCGCGGTCTTGGCTCACTGTAACCTCCACCTCCCGGGTTCAAGTGATTCTCCTGCCTTAGCCACCCAAGTAGCTGGGACTACAGGTGCGTGCTACCACGTCCAGCTAATTTTTGTATTTTTAGTAGAGATGGGGATTCATCATGTTGGCCAGAATGGTCCCAATCTCTTGATCTTGTGGTCCGCCTGCCTCGGCTTCCCACAGTGCTGGGATTACAGGCGTGAGCCACCGCGCCTGGCCTATTAAGTATTAACTCACATGATCACAAGGTCCCATAATAGGCCATCTGCAAGCTGAGGTGCAAGGAGAGCCAGTCCAAGTCCCCAAACTGAAGAACTTGGAGTCTGATGTTGGAGGGCAGGAGGGGGATAAATGCACAGGGGAAGGATATAGGCTGGGAGGCTAGGCCAGTCTCATCTTTTCAGGTTTTTCTGCCTGTTTTATATTCACTGGCAGCTGATTAGATGGTGCCCAGCCAGATTAAGGGTGGGTCTGCTCTCCCCAGTCCACTGACTCAAATGTTAATGTCCTTTGGCAATACCCTCACAGACACATCCAAGACCAATACTTTGCATCCTTCAATCCAATCAAGTTGACACTCAGTATTAACCATCACAAGCCCTATGAAATAAAAAGTTTTATGACCCCTTTCTTCCCAGAATTACGAATGCCAATTTACTTGCTCTACATTTATACAACTTCAATGACCTGGGGCAGGTAGGTTTGCAATGTTTTGTTACTTCCCCATTGTCCATATTCACTTGTGTCCTTGGCCATGGCCAACTAATTTACAGGTTGAAACATTTCCCAGCACTTTGGAAGGCTGTGTGGTGGGAGGACTGCTTGAGGCGAGGAGTTCAAGACCAACCTGGGCAAAATAGTGAGACCGCTGTCTCTATAAAAAGTAAGATTAGCCAGGTGTGGTGGCACATTCCTGTGGTCCTGGCTACTTGGGCGGCTGGGCCCAGGAGGTTGAGGCTACAGTGAGCCATGATCGTGCTGCTACACTCCAGCCTGGGTGACGGAGCAAGATCTTATCTCAAAAAAACAAAACAAAACAAAACACATTGTACTAGACTGTCTTAGTATTTGAAGCTTGAACAGATACACAGAAAAGACAGAGAAGCCACCTACAATGCATTCTAGAAAGAAGATCATGCTGCTGAGGATCATGGAAGTATCCTGGTTCCCATTGTCAAGCTTAGTTGTTCAGCTCTTCCTTAAGTTATATAAACTATCCCAGAATTCTTCTAAATTCCCCAATCCCTTTAATTTGGTTTAAATTAGCCAAATCAGGTTATTGTTGCATCTAACGAAAACTTAAGGGGAATAAATTGGTTGGGAGAATGTGTTGTAGCCAGTAGCCTGTCAAGAAAATGTTGCATTTTTAAGTGGGTTTTGTCAAGCTGAGAAGGGATGAAGTGAGGGAGACTTACCTGACTTTCAAGATATTTGGCTTTCAAACCATTGGTTTTCACTTCTTGACTGTGTTATCACCAACCTCCCAGGACTTTACACCAGAAATCTGAAGGGCACCACTGATACCATCTCCCCCTCTTTGTTCCTATGTCTAATCATTAGTTACACCTGCCAGGTTCCATACCTTGAGTATGTCTTTTCATTCCCACTATTACTGCCTTAGTTCAGGTTACTGCTTTTCTTACGCATTACATTACTATGGGCTTTTAAATGGCTTCTGTGCCTTTATCTACTCACAAACTATTCACGCTGCAGTCAGAAGTGTTCTTTCTAAGCCAAAATTATTCACTTCCAAAATGAAGATCTAATTATGTTCACAAGTCCTCTCCTTCTTCACCCATTCCCCACTCTAGTGTTAATCTAATACTAGGTTACTCAAGGTAATGGGGTAGAAGGTCATGGGTAACTCCAAATCACACTTTAAATGAACTCTAGTCAAAGTACTGAATACAATGGATATAAACTTGCTTAGTAAAACTACCTCTAATAATTTAGGAATAAATTTGCCTTCTGTGAAAGCCATTCCAAAGTACAAAAATAGTATAATTACAGGTATTTAAGCTCACAAAATATCAAGGTTATGACTGAAAAATTGGCAAAGGTTTTTTGTCTCGCCTCTTAGTTGAGCTCTGTGTAATAAATGGAAATAGAAGCACACAAATTCAAGAAAAGGGACTCTAACAGACTGAGGATATTGTGGCTTTCAAAAAGGAGAGAACATTTTAGATGATACAAAGAAAATGTCACCCCATTACTCAGAATTCACTCTATTCGACAGATATATACACCCCTCAGCAAGTGCTCCTAAGGATGAGAGGAGAGTAAGTTTTTCCATCTATCTCTATCAACACTCTTCCTAAAATACCTAATGCCTAACAAGTCTAAAGAACACACTGGCTACTCATACCTCCCATAGGCAGAGACCTTGTCCTTTTTGTCCTGCTGTATCTCAGGTAACCAGCAGTCACTGAGCGGATGCTAATACATTTGCAAATTCCTCTGGAGCCTCTAAAGACCATAACATGAATCATCAATTCAAATGCCTATAGGAGTAGGGCAGGTGATATGATTGAGTAAACAGAGTCATTTTAGGGCCTATAACAAAGGGGAGAGAGGCCAGGAGCGGTGGCTCACGCCTGTAATCCTAGCACTTTGGGAGGCCAAGGTGGGCCAATCATTTGAGGTCAGGAGCTCGAGACCAGCCTGACCAACATGGTGAAACCCCGTCTCTACTAAAAATACAAAAAAATTAGCCGGGCGTGGTGGTGCATGCCTGTAGCCCCAGCTACTCAGGAGGCTGAGGGAGGAGAATCGCTTGAACCCGGGAGGCGGAGGTTACAATGAGCCGAGATCCGCGCCACTGCACTCCAGCGTGGGCGAGAGCGAGACTCCGTCTCAAAAAACAAAACAAAAACAAAGGGGAGCCTACAACTACATAAGCCATCTCCAGGCTAGTTTCTTTAACGAGTCTTCATATAATAATCTCCTCAGGGTCCTTTTATCCCTACAAAATACAAAACAGTTCCTCGTGTCTTCTTTCAAATATACTACACTCTTTAGCTGATCAAGGTAGCTGAGTTAATCCACGGCGTAATCCCAAAAGCGAAACTGAATGTCAGAATCGATCTCATCTCAACACTCATTCCAGAAGTAAAAACAACTTCTGCAAGTTCAGCTTTTGACTATGAATTCTTCAGCGCGACTTTAGCAGAGAGCTCTGTTCCAAGAAGCTGGCGGCTTAACACAAACTATCTACTCATGCACAAGGTGAGGCCGGCTTGGGTCCAGATTCGGCGGTAGAGTGGAAAAGTTACGCGGGCCGACTTTAACCACAAAGGCAATTTCTGCCCAGGGCTAGCGTTCCCAGAGGGGCCCGAGGGCGCGCCAGGCTCGGGTGCAGGGGCAAGAAGACCCAGAGCTAAAGCAGCCCCGGAGGGCCCGCCGAGGAGAGGGCGGGCTCAGGGCTCAGAGACCCTCCCAGCTCGGAGCCAGCGCTGGAACACGATAGCGCGAGGAGAAACCCCTAGAGACGGCGAAAAGGCGAACGTAGCGGATGACGCTGCCCAGACGTTAGGCGCCGACGGCAGCCTGATTGTCACCGTAGGACCAGTGAGGGGGCGGGGCGGAGCTGTGCCTCAAAGCGCCTGCGCGGAGAGCCCCCTCTCAGGGACCAGGCTGGGAGGCGAGGAAAAGGAACGTGGGGCGCGGGAGGCCCACTGCATACGCAGGCGCACTCGGCGATCCCGGCTTTTCGGCGCACCCGTTCCAGCACAGGCCTTGGGGCGGGGCCTCGGGTGCAGGGGCGGGGCCGGGGCGGGGATAAATGCGGAGGGACTGTCCGGCTTTCGCTCTCAGCTCGCAGCCGCTGCAGTCGCCGCCACCTCCTCTGATCTACTAAAGTCATGTTACCCAACACCGGGTAAGGGGGTCGGGGCGGCGCGGGGAGAGACCCGGTCGGGCGAAGGGCGCGTCTCGGGGGGGCCGCCGCTAATCGCCCGGGCTGGCCGGCCCGGCGGTGGGAAGTCAAGGATGCTGCCTGGGCACGCTCTAAGCTCTGGTCCGCGCTGGGCGCTGTGCACCGAGAATCTGCGGTAACGCGTGAAAAGGAACACAAAGTTTTGTGTTACAGGGTGGCAGCAGTGTAGAAACCTCTTCCACTGGTAAAGGGCCAAGGGTAAGTCACCCTGCCGCCTGCAGTGCTGGCCCTCCCTGAATTTAGCAGGAGTGCATGCCTGGCCGAATGCGTACGAGTTCTAGGTGAAAGGTCGCAGGAGCAGCTCCAGAGTTTAAATGTAGAGTTTTCACTGTTCCTGACGCTCAATTCTAGAGTAATAATGAAGTGTTTAAAAACTGATTTCCAAATTAGAAACAAATTAAACCGATCTTAAAACATGGGTATCTTTTAGGGATTTTTTTCACCTTAAAAAATTGTGTTAAAATACGTATAAAATTTGCCATCTTAACCATTTTTTAAGTGTACACTTTAGTAGTGTTAAGTAGATTCATATCGTTGTGCAGTCAATCTCCAGAACTTTTTTCATCTGCAAGCTGAAACTCTACCCATTAAACAACCCCTCTTCCCCACCTCCGCTCATCCATTGGCAACCACCATTCTACTTTCTGGTTTATGTAAGGTCTGGGTATCTTGAGTTGAGTGACGTGTTGTCAGATTTTGTGATTTGCCTGAAACATGCAGGCATATAGCCAAAGACTTAAAACAGTTCAAAGAATATAGGGTAAAAAGTGAGTCTCCCCATCCGTAAAATCTAGTCCCCCAGTTACTTATGTTATGTTTCTGTTTCGTGCATGTATAAACATATTTGGTATACATCCAGACCCCCCCACACACAGGTACACAGACACACACACCCTTTCTTAAAAGTAGCAGCAAACTCTATTCTTGGTCTTGCTACTTTTAGTTGGTATGTCTTGGGACATTCTTTTTTTTTTTTTTTTTTAAAGACAAGGTCTCCCATGTTGCCCAGACTGGCCTCTAGCCTCGAACCCCCAGGCTGATGTTCCTTCCTTCTTAGCCTCTGGAGTACTTGGGATTACAGGCATGCACCACTGTGCCCAGGGACAAACATTTTTGGTACATGCAGATCTTCCGCCTCCTTTTTTTTTTTCTTTTGAGACAGAGTATCGCTCTTCTCCCAGGCTGAAGTGAAGTGGCGTGATCTCGGCCCACTGCAACCTCCGCCTCCCGGGTTCAGGCGATTCTCCTGCCTCAGCCTCCCTAGTAGCTGGGACTACAGGCGCCCGCCACCACGCCATGTTAATTTTTTTGTATTTTTAGTAGAGACGGGGTTTCACCATGTTAGCCAGGATGGTCTCGATTTCCTGACCTCGTGATCCGTCCGCCTCGGCCTCCCAAAGTGCTGGGATTACAGGTGTAAGCCACCGCGCCTGGCCCCTCCTCCTTTTTTTTTTTTTTTTCGAGACAAGAGTCTCGCTCTGTCGCCCAGGCTGGAGTGCAGTGGCGCCATCTCGGCTCACTGCAAGCTCCGCCTCCCGGGTTCACGCCATTCTCCTGCCTCAGCCTCCTGAGAAGCTGGGACTACAGGCACCTGCCACCACGCCAGGCTAATTTTTTTTGTATTTTTAGTAGAGACGGGGTTTCACCGTGTTCACCAGGATGGTCTCGATCTCCTGAGCTCGTGATCCGCCCACCTGGGCCTCCCAAAGTGCTGGGATTACAGGCGTGAGCCACCGTGCCCGGCTACCCCTCCTCCTTTTTAATGGTTGCGTAATATTCTGTAACAGCCTGAGTATCCATTATGCAAAATGCTTGGTTCCAGAAGTGTTTTGGATTTCAGATTTGGTTTGCTCAACCTGTATATGAATATACCTTTGTTTATTTAACCTGTTCCCTATTGTTGGATACTAGACTGTTTCCAGTTTTTTGAATACTCTTTTTGCTTCCATGATTATACTTATATTTCTCTATTTGCATATATGTAAGTGTATATGTAGGGATAAACTCCTGGAAGTGAAATTGCTGGATCGAAGAGTAGATGTGGCTGACACAGTGGCTCACGCCTGTAGTCCCAGTACTTTGGGAGGCCGAGGTGGGCGGATCACTTGAGGTCAAGAGTTCGAGACCAGCCTGGCCAACATGGTGAAACCCTGTCTCCACTAAAACTACAAAATTACAAAAATTACAGATACAAAAATTAGCTGGGCCTGGTGGCGGGCACCTGTAATCCCAGCTACTCAGGAGGCTGAGGCAGGAGAACCGCTTGAACCTGGGAGGCGGAGGTGGCAGTAAACCAAGATCATGCCACTGCCCTGCCCTCCACCCTGGGTGAAAGAGTGAGACTCTGTCTCAAAAAGAAAAAAGAGTAAATGCACTTTATATTTTGATAGATATTGCCAGATAACCCTCCAGAAGGGTTGCACACCCTAAAGGATAAATGAGACCCCCTAATCCCACATGCTGGCTAACTGCAAAATAGTTAATGATGAAAATCTAATTAGAGAAAAAAGTGTCACCTCATTATTGTTAAATTTTGCATTTATTTTATCACAAGTGTGGATTTTGATCTCTTTGTATATTTAAACCAGGGACAATTTGATCCCCAGAGGACATTTGGTAATATCTGAGGACATTTTTGATAGTCACAATTGAACGGGGATGCTAATGCCATCTTGTGAGTAGAGTACAGGGATGCTGGTACACATCCTACAATGCACAAGCATTCCCTACAACAAATAACTATGTAGTCCAAGAGGTCAGTCGTGCAGAGGTTGAGAAACCCTGGTTTAAAGCCGTCTATGTATCTTTATATTTGTCTGGCTTAACAAACGGGGTTTTTGATTAATCTCTGAGGGCTCTGTGTATTTTAAAAATTTGTCTTTTATCATGTTACAAATATTTTCCAGTTTTTCATGTTGCATCTGGACTTTGATTATACTGTTTATTTAACATGGAGAAACGTGTTTTTGTAAAGCGAGAGTTATCAGTCTCTTAAGGCTTTTGCATTTTTGTGAGAAGCCTTTGAGTTAAACCAAGATCTTTCTTTCTTTCTCTTTTTTTTTTTTTTTTAGTTGGAGGCTTGCTCTGTTGCCCAGGCTTGAGTGCAGTGGTGCGATCTTGTTTCACTGCATCCTCTGCCTCCCAGGTTCAAGTGATTCTCCTGCCTCAGCCTCCCAGGTTCAAGTGATTCTCCTGCCGCAGCCTCCCAAGTAGCTGGGATTACAGGCGCACAACGCCATGCCTGGCTAATTTTTATATTTTTAGTAGAGTCGGGGTTTCACCATGTTGGCCAGGTTGGTCTCAAACTCCAGACCTCAAGTAATCATCCTGACTCGGCCTCCCAAAATGCTAGGATTATAGGTGTGAACCACTGTGCCTGGGCAGATCTTTCTATAATTAGTTTCCTTCTAATATTTTTATGGTTTTATATGTTTATATTTTTCAAATATATTTCTATTGTATGTATTTTTCGTACTCAGATTTTTTTATCCCCCTGGGATTTGTTTCAGGAAGTGAGTTAGGAAGCCTATTTGATTTTTCTTCAGATGGCTGCTCAGTCGTCCTAGCAGCATTGACTTAATAGTTAATCTTTTTTCTTCCGTTCGAAATTCTACCTCTGTCGTATATTAAATTCTTGTACATGTAGAGGTCTGTTTCTGGACTTTCTGCTCTGCTACTTTAGTCTGTATTCATGTACCAGTACCAAACTGTTTAATTAATTAATTAATTGAGACAGGGTCTCACTCTGTCACCCAGGCTGGGGTGCATTGGCACTATCATAGGTCACTGCAGCCTTGATCTCCTGGGCTTAAGCAGTCCTCCCAGCTCATCTTCACAATTAGCTGGGACTAGAGACATGCGCCATAATGCCTGGCTATTTAAAACAAATTTTTTTGTAGAGGGGTCTCACTTTGTGGCCCAGGCTGGTCTCAAACTCCTGGGCTCAAGTGATCCTCCGGCCTCAGCCCCCGAAGTGCTAGGATTACAGATGTGAGCCACTCTACCCAGCCCAAACTATTTTAATTGTTTTAGTTTTATAAAATGTTTTAATATGTGGGAAAGCTAGTTCCCACCACATTTGGATTATTTTTCAGAATTTTCCTGGTTATACTTGGGTATTTATTTTTCCAAATGAACCTTAGAATAATTTGTATAGTTTTTTGGAAACAATTGTTCTTCCTTTTTAAAACAGTTAACAAAAATTTCAGCACTTTTACCTGATTTTGGGGTACCAGAGAATTTTAGTAAATCAAACTGTAAGTTAGCTCTGCATTAATAAGTTTTAGCCATCTATCAATAATACTAAGAAATTTGGAGCCTTCTTTGAAGTGCTCTTGCCTTCTGTATTCTGGTACTAATGCTTTGGAGCTGGAGGGCTTCCTTACTGGCACAGATCGGGATTATGTTTGCTTTTTTTTCTGCCAATGCCAAAGACTCTGAGTGAGGAAGAAAATGCCCTTTCTCCTACTGGGAATCAATCCAGCTATACTCAAGGCAAAGAGATACGGCTTTTTCACAGCAATAGTTGGGACATTTTCTTGTAAATACTTATATGAAAAATCACTTTAACCTGTGGTCCCAGCTACTTGGGAGGCTGAGGTGAGAGAATCACTTGAGTCCAGGAGGTTGAGGCTGCTGTGAGCTGTTGAGGCTGTTATGGTAAACTGAGGACCAGAGAGACCGATATTGGGAAGACAGGAGGATGTTTATTTAAGGTACGCACCGGCTCAGTGGATTCATGTCCAAAAAGCTGAGCCTTGAACAAAAACAGATTTTAGCTTATACAGACCAGCATACAAGAGCAAAACAAAGGCAGTAAATTTTACAGTGACAAGTCAGGTAATCCATAGCATAACTGCTGACCTGGCACTAACCTGTGGCCTTGCATAGCTAGTGGCCTAGCAGCTGCATTGAAAAAACAGGAACTTTGCAAATCTTACTTA